TGCTTATCAACCAGTAATACCAGTAGTCGGAAGATATCATCCCACATATTGAAAAAACCAGAGAGCTCTTTATAGAATACAGATACACACCGGCAGTTCTGACGGCTGATGTAAATGCTAATTCCCTTCTGTGGCATAGCTCAGGAACTAATACGAGAGGAGAGGAATTGGAAAACCTGATACAAGAACTGGGCCTTGAAGTTGAAAATAAACCAGGACATCCGCCAACTTATCAAGGACGAGCAGGTGCCTCCGTAACGGTCTACAGACTTATACAAATAGACGACCTCGCGAAGGATATAAATGAATCGCTAAAAGAGGCCACGAACGTGGCTACTTCTAGATTTACCACAATGAGACAAAGAACATATGATTTTTGGAGCGATACACTTCAAAAGAAAAGAGCGGCTGTAAGGCGGAAACGAAAAAGATATCAAAATGCACGTAGATGTGAGGAGAGGCTCGAGCTCCTTCAGGAATTCCTAAACGAAAAAAGGGAGTACAAAACACTGATAGAAAATGAGAAAGAAAAATGTGCAACAAAATTCGTAAAGGAAAATTTAGCTACTGACCCCTGGGGTATGCCGTACAAAATAATTACGCAGAAAGTAAGATCGCCAACAACATTTTCCACGCTGCAAAAAGCAGATGGAAGTTTTACAAACGATTAGCAAGAAACGGCAAAGTGAAGTAAGGTGCTTCACTCACTTCTTTCGGACGATGACGATCAGCAGGAAAGACCCGAACAAAGGCAGCTAAGAGACAGGCTGGCAGAGCGATGTCCATCAGAGGAAAAACGGAGGAAGTAACGGTTGAAGAGACATTGTTTCTCATAAATCAGTGTAAAAACGGAAAAGCACCTGGTCCGGATAACATCCCGGCTGAAATAATCAAGGCAGTTCAACTCTAATTGGCTCCGATAGCTACGATGCTTTCCAACGCATGTATAGTGCAAGGAAAATTCCCCAGGATATACAAACAGGCGAATGTGACGGTATTATATTAAGGGCAAGGAAAAGATAAAAAAGATCCAAAATCGTACAGACCAATTTGCCTGTTGAATATCATGGGGAAACTATTAGAAAAAATTCTATGCAGTCGTCTCCAAAATCATAGACTACAAGAAAAAACCATGAACAGCAATCAATACGCTTATAGAAAAGGTAAATCTACGGAGGATGCCATAAACAAGCTGTTAAGTGAAATAGAAACATCCACAGCAAAATATGTGATGACAATCTTTATTAATTTTTAAATTAATTTTTTTTTAACCTCTGGTGGCCTGCTCTTTTCAACAGATTAAGGGACTTGGACTATCCATCGGACTTGTATCGGACGTTCAAGAGCTACTGCCAGGACAGGTACGCGACGCTGCAAGCAGGAAAAACAAATATTGTGACAAAGAGAATAACAAAAGGCTGTCCCGCAGTGTTCCGTTTGCGACCCCATCTTCTGGGATGTAGTGGTGGAGGATCTCCTCAATAGCATCGAACAAAACGACGACGATGTAAAGATAATAGCATACGCAGACGACATAGTACTGATTGTCCAAGGGAAGAGTAGAAAAGAACTTGAAGATAACTTGTCTAACACCTTACACAAGATTGTTAAATGGTGTGATATCAACAAATTGTCCGTATTACAAGAAAAAACCTATGCGATCATGAGGGGAATGCTAAAGAGGGATCCAATCATAAAACTAGGAACAACATCCATTAAGAGGAAACAATTGACAAAGTATTTAGGTGTTTCCATGGCGGAAAGATTACATTTTTCTAAGCACATAGAAAATACCTGCTCAGCAGCAACAGCGGCAATGTACGCCATAGCTAGCCTTGCTACGAGAACATATAAATTGCCCCTGAGGCTAATCAAAACTTATTTTAATGCTGTAATGACAGGCATAATAACATATGCAGCAAGTGTATGGGCAGAAACGGCGAAACAGGTAAAGCCTCGAGAACAGCTAAACAGGGCATAAAGGAATATAATGGTCAGAATGACAGGAGCTTATAGAACAACTGCAACAGACGCCCTGGCAGTAACTCTAGGAATTCTCCCAATGGACTTGGAAGTCATTAAACGAGCAGCCACGTATTGGACGAAGAAAAGGAGAAACGACAAGTTCACGAGATTGTTGGGAAGGGAAGCCAGAAGTAAGACAGATATTAATGAGGCTATTTTCGAAATCTGGCAAGAGCGATGGTCAAACTCGGAAACAGGAAGACGAGTGTATGACTTCTTCCCAAACATCCGTCAACGGATGACACAAAAACTGAAATTGAATAGCGGTATAATCCATTTCATAACAGGTCATGGGCCTTATCCAACTTACTTTCACAATAGAAAAATTGCTGAAAGCAATCTATGTGAATGCGGAGCAATAGGAACTTCAGAGCACATGATACTGGAATGCAAACAAATTGCAGACGTACAAGAACAGCGAAATCGTCTGACGGACATGGCAATGACAGAAGTCATACAAGACGAAGAAAGAATAGTAGACTTAAACTACATAATCGACAAAGTGGAAAGAAACCACAATCAGAATCAGAGACGATAATGCCAAACACCGATAATGACATCAACACCGAGACCAAACCATCAGGTCGTGTAAACAACAACATTTGCAAGAGAAAAACCTAATAAGCATATTAGGTCGCGCGCATGTAGTGAGTAGTATTAATTGCATGAACTAGAGTAGGAAATAGTAATCAATATTTTAGTTTGCATGTTAGTTAGACATAGAATAATAGTAATGCACGATAATTAATTAAGGAAATTTACAAAACTGTTTTTTCATTTTGCTTTTGCATTTCTTTGCTAATTGTAAAAATAACTCAAATCATGTTCTTTACCGTAAAGTTGTAATAATACATAAAAAAAAAGGTGGCTCGTTGTCCAACCAATCATATCGCCTTGTTGGGCTCTTCTTCCCTTGGATTCGAGTATCACCGGTCTGATCCTCCGGTGACTCGCTATCTAACCAACGTCCATAATAATTTATTGGACGTTCGCCCCTATTATCATCTTTGCTAAACAATGTCAGCTTAACGAATTGCAAATTTTGAATTGGGTTCCCCATCCAACGAGTTTCAAATCTCGGCTTTGCAATGGTTTCTCTTGACCGTAGCTCTTACTTCCCCCTCCGTGGACTACGGGAGGTCAAACAAGGTAGTTGTGTCTGAGACGCAGAATTAGGGGTCTAGACCCAAATAATTAAAGCATAATTTCGTAAATAGCAATTGGTACGATCAATAATTTAAATCGCGTGCCGAAGGTTTTAAATTACATAGTTCTAACGACGATGCTCGCTATAGGGAAGTAAACTGTATTTTCTTGTTTGTGTGTCTTATACCTTTGTCGCTTTCTACCTCTGTAAGAAGTGGTAATTGGATAATTTGAGGTTGATCAAATGAAAATTTTTATTGGGTTCATAGAATTGTAACGAATTAAACTATATTATGCTTGGATTGTATAGCGATAGTATTTTCAATTGTTGTTCTAAATAGAATAATGTTACGGCGGTAATGGTAATTAGTCCATTATGGGAGTCGACCTTGGCAATTATTGCTTATGACTGCACTGCTCCCACCACTACCATCACAAAAGGTATACAACTGTCTGGTGGAAGTGATTCGTTCGATTACCCATTGTGGAATGCACAGTCATTCCTCCGAACTACGAGGTTGACTTAGTTCCTACATGTATACTTTGGGAGCAGAAGATTGCAAGAAAATGCACCTACTAAAATCCTTGAACTTGATGGGTAGACACCTGATACATGCTATAAAGCCGAACAGTACGATGGTTGTCTCATTGGTTCTCCATGGTACGTTGGACAAGGAAGGGAAATGTAAAGGCGAAACATTTATCGAGAATGGCGAAACGTGGACCGACGTAGTAGTACATGGGTCAATTATGATCAAAACAAGCGACTACAATGCTGTACTGAGCATGGAACAAAATCTATTAAATTGATTGGCGGAACAAGCTGTCCCTATCTAGACGGATATTGCATAGATCCATTGAATGGAGAAGTGACGTGGAGTGTCCTTCCGACCGAAGACTGTACTCAAGTTACCATAAGAGGTACCGATAATAAATATCTAATTGTGGAGCACCAAGACCGCATCTTTGCGCTTAACATTTTGAAAAGGAGCTTCATTTGTTATTCTGAAGTTTACCTAACCAAACATCCGAGATTGGTAATGTATTTTGTCGAGAACAAGCAATTGATTCCGATCTTTCGTATTGTCAACCCGAGGGACGTCGATTTGGCAGCATACATTAATAGTAAATTTATGTATGTTGAGTATACATACAAGAAATCTTTACAAGCGTTGTACCGAGACACGGTACAAAGGTTGTTTGATGAAGAGAGAGATACTCCAGAAGACTGTTGATGGCCCTTCTTGCGCTAAATGCTGTAAGTACCTTATTAAACAATCACCCTGGGTACGTAGGTCAAGTAATAGGAGAAGTACTCTACATATTGCAATGTATTCCTAAACTGAAACCAAATGTTATAATGAACTACCTGTCAGAGACGGCTCGAATCAGACTTATTTCATGGCCCCGCTGACACATATCCTTACTAAAATGGGCGAGGAGGTGGATTGCAAGGTATCGACTCCACTAATGTTCCCAATAAAAGATAAATGGGTATCTATAGGTCCACATGCAGTGTTACAAAATCCTCCTGATAAGCTAGATGTAAAGGAAGAATTGGCGTTTAAGTTCACTCCCTTATATAGTTTTGGAGCTGCCGGGTTATATACTCGAGAAGGTTTGGCTCCAGCTCAACATGCGATTCGCTTGGGAATCGAACGTAATGCCATCCAAAATATTCTGATTAGGCGATTGCAGGGTAAACATACGTATGGTAGTGGGATAGATGTGGAAAACTTTTTTAACACCAGCGAACTGAGACAATTTGCAAAAAGTACCTTATCAGTGGATTTATTGGAATTATAGTTGTATTTCAATTACTAAAAAGTATGGCGAGTGTAATACTAAATGGGTACGCCTTGTATCGAACGATGGGTTGTGGATTGGTTATTCTAGCCAGCCTTTGGAATAACTTAACTATGTGGCTATTAAATAAACATAGGCCACCTGCCGAAAACCGTATTCCCGATTTACACATATTACCTAATTCTGAGAACGAGATTCCTATTGAACCAAAACTTCCTTCTGTACCTCAAATTGCAACTCCCGATAAAACCTGTTATCCGTTAGGGGCCGAACTACCAACCTGCATGTGGACCGCACGCGAACAGAGTCATTTCCGTAGTGTGTGATCGGAAAAGAAATGTGTGAATAAAAAGAACAATAGGACTAAAAAGAACAATAGGACTAAAAAGAACTATCGACCTTAAAAAAAAGAGAGTTTATAAATTGATAACAAACCAAACATTATTCTTGTATAAATTTTGTTTTCTTATTCGTCGTTTTATTATGTTAACTTTGTTTACTATTAGTACCGTGTATTCGATAACGCCGACGTTATCGCAGTTTTATTTCTTGTTTGTTAATGTAACTTGAAAAGGAACGCTACTATCTAGTAGCACTCTTTTTTGTTAGGGGGAAGCGATGTAGCGAACCATAGGGTTATTTAAATTTGTTTTAATTTTCAATTTGTGAAGGTTCGCTGTATGATTTCTCCCCTACTTTAGTTGGTGCAATCGTTTCTACTGTCCGAATTGTCGGCCAATGGAAACGATTGTTTAGAATAAGAGCATTCGGAAAGAAAGGGTTTAAATATCTCAGACGGGAAAAAGAATAGTGAGTTCCTCTGGGGGTCCAGTGAAGTCCAGTCCCGAGATCCGAGAATCGAGTTAAAGGAGTTCCTCTGGGAGTAGAGTTCCGTTGGCGTTCCGTTGAGAGCAGTTCCAGTACTTTCAGTTGAGAATCAAGATTAAGATCGTTGGTCCGTGTCACAATGAGATTTTAAAACCTGTGTAAATAATATTTTGTAAATCAATACTAACTGCTTTTGGTTTTGTTGATTGTTGTCTTTCATAAATTTTGTTCAATAAATTTCGTTAATAGATTTTGTTCAATGATGTTTGTTTATTAAATTGTATTTGTAGATTTTTTTTTATTATTATTCTTGATCGATAAATTTTGTTTCATTGTCTGTTTTTATAGTTTTTTTTTATTACTTAATAAATTTTAAAGTAAAGATTAAATTTGAGTTCTCTTTTGTTTTGACCAAATTGATAAATGCGTGACAAATTTCAATTTGTCGCATACGCATTGCACACCCCCACGTCAATGTAAGAGGCTCTACTGTACGTTAAATTGAATCTTTTATTTGTTTACTTACTAACTGTATTAGTCTTCCACCTGTGAAGGTAGATTGCATTGTAGGTAAAAACTGAGGTGTATTGAACTCAGGTAAAACATACACCTCTCAGCAAATATGTAAGTGTAATCGAGTCGGCGTTGTAAAAACGACAGTCGGCATTGACTGGTTGTGAGAATTAGTAACAGAAATTGTAAGAATAAAATGTGTAATGATTAGCAGGAAAATAAAGTAAAAATTAGTGAAGGGAAGATTGGGTTTCCTTTCATCACCAAACCCACCTTAAAAAATGTTGGGTATCAATAAAATTGATGTAAAAGTTTTGTACTGTCCGATATAATTTAAGTTAAAGTTGTTCTATTTAAAACGTCAATAAAACCATTCAATAATCTCAAAAGGCCATATTTCCATATATAATAACAAAAAAGGACATTACATGGCGATCCTGCCAGGATAAAAAAAAACAAAAAAAAATTAATTGTACGAATCAACGAAGTTTTGAAGATTATCGCATTGTCAAAAATAGGTTATAATCAATCGAAATAGGAAAAAGAGGTTATAATTTGCCAAGCTGGTAACAGTGGCGGTACTACTTGGGATGTCCAATTTAGTGTACAATATGTTACGGAAATTGTGGTAATACTCTTCATTGTGGTTATCATTGGATATCTTATTTCATTGAAGATGCGAAGAGAAATAATCAGAAGCCGCGACCTAATCGCTTTAAATATTCGTGAAGACCAGTAATGTGCACGCGTGATGTGCAAAGTTCGGTTGATTTTCCGACCTACAGGGAAATCGTCGAAGTTTTCAAGGAACTATGAAAGGAAATTAAGGTATTTAGAACTAATAGAATAAAAGATAATCCAGACGCGCGAAAAAATTTAGTATTTAATAAAAAAAAATTAGAAATATTAAACGATTTTACAATTAGATTAAAACAATTAATTCGGGAGAATAGTGAAACCTTAAAAAACGTAGATGTAGCGAATGAAATTAGTATCTATAATAAAACGATAGAAAGCGTAATTAAGGAAATTCATGGTATCCTTATTAGTAGATTAAATATTCAAGAAACAATGGGTGAAGCTTTTGGTTTAAAAGTAGCCGGTAGTTTACTACCGTCGATGGACGGAAATGAGGATACCACGAAAAAGTTGATTGATTGTATTGTTATATTTAGATATGGTAAAAGTTGAAAACCCCGTGGTTGGTTAATAAATTTCATATTAAAAACTCAACTCTCTCAGAATGCAAAAATTCGGTTAAATAGTAATTATAATTCGGTAGAAGACATTTGATAATTTAAAACTGGCTTTAATAAACCACCAGTTTTACAGTATCCAAATTTTTCTCCCTATAATCAATTTATTCTTAGAACTGATGCTTCTGGGTACGCAATTGGGGCTGTCCTTTGTAATTCTGATGATAGACCAGTTGCATATGCTAGTAGAGCTTTAAACAAAGCGGAAATTAACTATGCTACAATCGAAAAGGAACTTTTGGCTATAGTTTGGTCTATTAAACATTTCAGACCGTATTTGTATGGACGTAAATTCAAAATTTTTACAGACCACAAACCTTTGGTACATCTGTTTGGAATGACTAATCCGTCGTCCAGGTTAACAAAGTTTAGGTTAGTTCTTGATGAGTATGATTTTGGGGTGCAATAATTTATGTGAGGGGTACGCAGAATGCGCCTGCTGACGCATTGTCAAGAATTAAAATTGATGCCAAAGACCTTAAAGTTTTAACAGAAAATGTTTTTATAACGAGGCTCAAGCTAAAAAAGAAATAAAGAAAGCTGCAAATTCGGAGATTGACGAAAGTACTGAAGATGATGCGAGGATTGGCCCACCTGGTATACTCGAAGTGTTGAAACAACCTCTGAATTCAGTAGAACTAATATCTTTAAACAAAAGAGAATTATCATCTATTCACAATAAATTAATTAAGTCGGGAAAGCTTTTATTTGATGTAAAATTACAAATAATTTATATAATTAATGATTTATCGACTCTAGCTCTAGACGCAGAGTTGAAATCTTTATCTAGTATTTGTAAAAAATATGGAATTCCAGAATTGTTTATATTACAGTATAAAGAAAATGAAAATTTAATTGAGCGCTTAATACATGACTGCAATCGAATTCGAGAATATAATCTTAAAATTAATATTATTTCTAATGCAAAAGGCATAAATTGCAAGCAAACTCGACAATTAATTTTAAACGACTTTCAGGAGGTCATGTCGGTGTGAATAGAATGTATGCATATGTGAAAAAATATTATTTTTGGGTAAATTTAAAGAGTGACAGAAAAATTTATTAAAAAATGTTACGACTGTCAGAGGCACAAGTATTCCAAAAATCAAATCGAACCTCTAACAATTACAACAACAGCGTCGTCAGCATTCCATAAGGTATATTTAGACCTTGTAGGACCTAATAACCCAGGATAATGACGACAATCGATACATACTGACACTTCAGTGCGAACTTAGTAAGTTCGTGGAAGCTTATCCGCTTAAAAACAAGGAATCTGAAACGGTGGCAAGGTCATTTGTTAATAATTTCATCTTAAAATTTGGGATTTCAAAAGATATTGTTACCGACCAAGGTGCCAAATTTTTAGCAAAAGTTTTCCAACAATCAGCACAAATGTTGGGAATTAAACATCTAACCTCTACCGCTTACCATCATGAAACCTTAGGTTCTCTCGAAAACACGCATAAAAACCTGGGGGCGTATTTAGGCATACAAACCAACAAATTTCCATACAGGTGGAGTTCTTGGATACCTTTTTGGTGTTTTTCTTTTAACAATAGTGTTCATAGTGAAACTAAATACACTCCCATGAGTTAGTTTTTGGAAAGGTTTGTAATTTGCAATTCAACACTCTAAATCAGGCCTTCTTAAACTATGGGTCGCGACCCCAAATGGGGTCGCGTAGCAAAATTCTGGGGTCGCGAGAGATTTTAATGTCAAATATTCAAATACACAATTTTATGACATCTAGATGTGTACTTGTGCAGAGTCACACTCACACACCTTCACACAAACAAAGGTTAGAATGCGCGCGCACATGTGCAGCGAGACAATGATTCAATAACACCACAGTATACAATAATGAAGCCCCTTTCTTTTGTTCGCGAGGTTCGAAATTCGAATGACCTCCGCCATGTTGAAAAGGGGTTGAGTATTTTAACCGCTAAATTTGAATTAAATATGACAGAATTTATGCTGAGTGGCCAGCTTCAGTCTAAGTTTTTACATTATAAAATGTAAATGTGTTTTACATTCAAAATAAAAAAAGTAATATTTATGATTCTAAGTAATGATATTAATTACTAATTACTACTTTTAGGTTCGTTTTTACAATAATATTTATCTTTTTATCAATTTTATTCCAATACGTATGAATTATAGACGTTAGCGCCATCTTTTGTCGCTGATATACAAATAAATTTGTATACAAATGTGAAGTAGTGTAGTATTGACGCTCTTCTAGTGTAGTCAATTGTCAGTGTTCCACCGTAACGAGATTTTAGTTTTTTTATTTATTCGGTAATTAATTAATCAATTATTATATGCAATAGGTATGTTATTTTTATATATTTATTGGATTTTAGCATCAAAATAATTTTTGGCCATGGATAAATGGCTGAACTTAAATAAGAATGGTAATGACGCAGATGATAATGCTACAAACTCTCCTCAGGCAGGACAAAGTATTGAAAAACAAGCATCTAATGTGCGAAAAAGAAAATATGATGAGTCTTTTCTTCAATTTGGCTTTACATTTCAAAATTGTAAGGGTAATGAACAACCTCTTTGTTTGATCTGCAATGAATTATTGGCCCCGGAGAGTATGAAACCATCAAAATTAAAAAGACATCTTGAATCAAAGCATGTTTCTTATGTCAATAAACCAAAAGAATATTTTGAAAGACTGTATAAATCTTTAAATAAAGAAAAAAAAACCTTTGAAAAATTCATGACCGTTAATGAAAAATATTTACTAGCGTCATATGAAGTTTCATACTGTATTGCTAAAAATAAAAAGCCGTTCACCATTGGAGAAGATCTTGTATTACCTGCTGCTATTAAAATGGTAGAAATACTACATGGAAGTAAATATGGCGAAGATATTCGAAAAATTCCTTTGTCGAACGACACTGTCTCGAATAGAATTTCTGATATCAACAAGGACCAATTAGTGCAACTTATTACAAGAATTAAAGAAAGCCCAAAATTTTCAATTCAGTTGGACGAAACAACGGATATTACTAAATTGGCTCAGTTGTTAGTATATGTCAGGTACGTTTATAAAGAAAGCGTGGAGGAAGAATTGTTATTTTGTCGTCCTATGAAAGACCATACTACAGGGAAAGACATATATTGTAAAGTTGACGAATTTTTAAAAACTGAAGGTTTAGAATGGAAAAATTGCTGTGGAATATGCACAGATGGTGCAAGAGCGATGACGGGCAAAAATATTGGTTTTAAATCATTTTTTCAAGCTGCTCATTATGATCATATAACTTTTACTCACTGCCTTATTCACCGAGAGGCCCTTGCAGCAAAAAAAATAGCACCAGAATTGAACGATGTACTTCAGGATGCTGTTAAGATTATAAATTTTATTAAGAGCCATGCCCTTAACAGCCGCTTATTTTCAAATCTCTGTAAGGATACGGATTCCAACTACACAACTTTATTATTACATGCAGAAGTAAGATGGTTGTCAAGAGGTCAAAGTTTAAGAAGATTAATGTTATTAAAGGACGAAATCGAAATATTTTTAACCGAACGAAAATGTGAACTTGCTGCTTTTTTTCAAAATGACTTATGGCTATCCAAGCTGTGTTATTTGTCAGATATCTTTGCGAAATTAAACGATCTCAACTTGTCTCTTCAAGGAAAAAATTGCGATATATTTACTTCGAATGATAAAATTGAAAGTTTTATTAAAAAGATCAACATTTGGAAAAGTAGGGTAGAAAAAAATTCGTTCGAAATGTTTTCCAGTGTCGACAATTTTATAATCGAGAAAAATCATTGTAAAACTTTTATTGCAAAAATTATTGTAGATCACTTAAAAGCTCTAGAAACACAGTTCCGTACATATTTTATATTAAATATTGATTTCAAAAAGGTAGCTTGGATTCAAAAGCCGTTTTGGATTGGCTTAAGTGAGATTGATCACCTGCCACTTAAAGCTCAAGAGGAATTTGCTGAGCTTTCGAGTGACTCAAACTTAAAACTACAATTTCCAAAAAAGCCCTTGACTGAATTCTGGATCGGAACTAGAACTGAATTTCCCACAATCGCTGATATGGCGTTAAATGTTCTTCTGCCATTCAACACCACATATTTATGTGAAGTTACTTTCTCAGCTTTAACACATATTAAATCCCAATATCGTTCATCGCTAAAAAATGTTGAAGAGGTCTTACGTCCAGCAGTGTCAAACATTCCACCACGAATTACTTTGTTATGCAATAAAAAACAGGCACATCCATCTCATTGAATTTTTTCCTTTAATTTTAATTTAATACTTACCACTCAACGACTTTGTTCGAATATATTCGAGCGAACTAAGACGGTCAGATATCCCTTTTAATTTCTAATGTTTCTAAACGAATTTCAAAACTATATATTTTCATATGTATATTGTTACCTAATAAATAAATCATCAAAAAATATTTATTTATCTTTCTTTTATATTTATATGGGGTCGCCAGAAAATTAGCAATCATAAATGGGGTCGTGAATGAAAAAAGTTTAAGAAGCCCTGCTCTAAATAATAGAGAGCCCATTTATAATTTTGATAACTGTCCGAACGACCTAAAATACCGATTAAGCAGTGCATGGAATGATGCTCAGAAAAACTTAATACAATCAAAAACCGATAGAAAATGTAAGTTAGTTAATAAGTATAAATTTAATGATAAAGTGTTATTGAAAAGTGAAGGACAGAGGAGTTGAGTGATACTTCATTTGAAAGGTCTTGGAAGCCTCTTTACAACGATGTATGAAAAACGTAAATTTGATGAACCGTTTTCGCCAAAAATCAATTTTTTAGCTCAAATGAGCAACCTTGAATATTTTGGTTATAAATTAAAAAAATTGAATTGTTTTATCATGTTGTTTTATTCTTTTTTTTTTGTTTTAGTCATTTTTTTTTTGTTTTAGTCATAATTGTGCAATACGTGATATTCTAAAATATATCTCGAAAAGATCTCATCTCAAGCTCTTTGGCTAAGATGAGTCCTTTTCAAAAGAATTGTTATCATTGTCATCATGACTTAAGCATGATAGCATCATGATATTCAAAACATTGGGTGAAACTTATATTATTAATATTTGAGTTCTTGGCTTCAATTTTAAAACTGTTACTTATACAGAAGTTTGAATGACTCAAAATAATTGTGTGAACAGTTACATAATATCCAGTACACAGAAAATAAGCAGAATTATAAGGAAGAGTTACATTTTGGGAACTTTAACAAAAAAATTATCAAAAAAGCAGATCCCAAAATGTACAGGTTGCACATACACATGCATTCCACAAAGAATTATTCTGAAGCTCTGTAGCAATTATTCTTTGTAGAACACTTGTGTACCTATCTATAGCACAGCCATAAAAGACTGGTTCCTAACTACACATCACAAATATGAAATCATTAAGATATCTCAGCAGCATATTGTGGAAATAATATACAAATTTATATTGGTCTGATAATAACCCACATGTGACAGTGGAAAGTCACGTTCAGCATGAATTTTCCTTTTTCGTAATTAATTTGATAGACCTACTGAAAGAAGTTCCATTGACTATCAGACAAAACATTTACTATCAACGTAATGGTCCCATTTTAGTTGCACAATGATTGACGATCTTAAATCCATGCAATTCGACCAGAAGCTGAAACAAAATGAAAGACATGTAATTAATTAATTAATAAGTATTGCAATGCAATAATTTATATGCACTATCTATTCGATGCTTCATAATTATTAGGCAAAATTATTATTGTGAATGCTTCCAGTTATTCAGTTATGTCAAAACTTTTTAGTAGTTTCATTATTAATGTTAATTTAAACCAAACTTTTGTGTGTTGGAAGACGAAGATAATATCTTCATGATGGTAATTTTGAAAGCAAATAACCTCACCAAGAAATCATGGAAGAAAACACGATTATGGAGAAAGAATTATCAATCAACTCGACAGAAGTTACAAAGGAGATTTGTTACATCTGTATTTGTTGTAATTTGAATACTTAAGAATGTCTTTTGAATTGAATTTATTGCTGATACATATGTTTAGTATTTAAAATAAACTTATAAAGGTATGCAGGGAAAATATGAAATTATCTTGAAAGCTCCAGAATTATCTTGACGTTTGACAGAAGAGGGCATTTTACATTTTCAATCATATTTGACGCAAATGTAAATTAAGTTGTATTTTTGAGAGAAAGATTTTCTATGGTATTTTAGGTACACTAGACACCAAATTCGCACTTGCCCCAATTTGATGGGGAAGTATGAACCATTGAATTTTTTTGGAGTTCAATTAAGAAAAAAAAACATCAATATTTCGGCTTGAGTTTTTAGCTATCAACTCAAAACATGTTGAGTGTACACCACCTAAACTGTCATTTAAATCGGTAAGTATACAACGAAATTAAAAGGAGTTAAAATCGAACTAATGGATTTCGCGGTCACATTTGCCCCTGTGTACCTTACTTTAATTTCTTCACGTAGAACTTGAACGATTGAAAAAGAACAAGGTTCTACTAAAAAGAACAAAAAAATACTGTTTAGCAGAACAAGGTTCTAAACATAAGGAAGTGGAGTTATTAAAAAACACATTTTCCAGAAAGTGATTGTTTTTTAACACTGAGAATCTCTTTTGCAAAGAAGGTCTAATAGGTACACGCACGAGTTCTTAATTGTTTGTTGTATTTAAAAAATAATAATATTGATTTCAGTGAATTTAATGTTTATACTTAGTGCCCGGAAGAGTTACAACACCTCTTTATTAAAAAAAAAAAGGGTCGTAACAATGTTTCAACAATGCAGTGAGAATGGTAAAAAATGAAATTTTGCACGATTCTCGTAAATTAACGATATCTCCGGTAAAATACGTTCGACCATGGTGTCCAATGCTTCGATATTTAGAGAATTTTCTAGGAGGGTTCTACAGGATAGAATAGCTAACTTTTTTGTTCATATATAATTATTGTTTGTTATGGTGCGATTAAGTAAAAAAAAAATACGGGAAAAATGCCAAAAAATTTGATTTTGTTTTAGGTTGTAACAAAATAACGGGGGGTCCAATTTATGCCATCAATACCTCAAAATGTTCGTCAGGATCTCTACTTTCATGTCCATATAGCTACAGAAGCACATTATGCAAAATAAAAAATATACTGATCATGAACCGTTACTACGTTTTTTAATTTACGATTTTCCACATTTTTGGAGATATCTCGAAAGCTGGACGTGATGGAGAAAAAGGGAAGACAGTTTCAGAATCAGCTCAACATTCTACGCTATAAAAAAATATCGCAGTCTTCGAGGAAAAAATTGATTAAAAGTTGTAAACTAGTGTTATTAGTGCTTTCAGGGAAAAATTGTTTACGAACAAATACAAAATTATATATTTATTGTGGAAGGATATAATTAGGCAAAAGTATGAAGAAATTCACAAAAAAAGTGGATGAAAATATATTAATTTAAATGGAGATGGGCGACATTGAACACAAATAAATGGGTTTGGAAAAGTTATCTAAAGAAAACAAAAACGTGAAAGTTATGATTAAAGAGGGAAAGGTAGAAAGCGAAGGAAATGGTGATTGAGACAAAATTGGACAGAGTTCAGAGATAAGGATGCAGAGAAACAGCAAGAAAAATAAAAACTTCTTTCTTAAAATATTATAACTTTGGAAAACTCTATAGGAAAACAAATAGCCGAGACTAAAGCTGTAAAGGATAAAAACGGGTTAATACTAAGGGAAAAATGGAAGAAACACTTCATGGAACTGTTAAGCGAAAATTGTCAAAATGAGATTAAGTTACCGACCCCTGTATCACAAAAAAGTAACAGAAGTAACAGAACATCAACAGGTGAGCAGAAGCATGGAAGAGTTGGAAACGGTAATAACAGAATAAAAAATGGAAAAGCTCCTGGTCAAGATAGATTAACCACAAAAATGATAAAATATATGGAATCACAGAGAACAGAAATGTTACTGAATATACTGCAGCAAGTGTGGGAAGAAGAAATTTTACCCAAGGATTGGCAAACGGCCCTATTAGTGCCAATCCACAAGGGAGGGGGCAGAAAATATAGTAATAATTATAAAGGAATTCTATTATAGATATTGAATATTATAAAAGTAAGGGAATTATTCCTCAACGGGAATAATGACTAATAGGCGAAAAAATTTGTAGTAAAAGTTTTCTGTTTCCTAGATATCCGTGATATTTACTTTCAAATCAAGAATACATAGAACATTTTAAACCTATAAAAACTTAAAATCAAAAGAATTAATGACAAAAGAAGGTCTTATACAAGGCGGAGGATTAAATCCAACGCAAGTCATAACCTATATGGATGAGATAACAAAAAGTGTAAAATAAGGTAAAGAAATTCTTTGTCGAAAATAGAAAATTGAAGTTCTAGAAGGAGCATTCGCAGATGACGTGATTATTATAGCTAGAGGTAGGAAAGAAGTAAATGCAAGTTTAAATATAAATAAATCGAAAGAGAGTACAAAGGATTTTGGAATGAAGATGAACAAGTTGGAAAGTAAAGTTATGGTGATAGGTAGTAGTGCAAGATTAAAAATAGTAATTGATGAAATCAAGCCAAAAGTTTAATATGTAAATATTGAAATTTTTCTTGTATTCTCATTGTATTCTTTAGTATAGAAATCAAGCTTGTTTGCTTTTTTAACATTTAAAAGGAGCAAATATCATAGTTAGAATCCTTACAAAAAAATAAAAGAGGTATTAAGAGGTAAGCTCTAATATCTCATTAAGTGTTTGTGTCACTTGAGATTTTCACAAATTTGTAAAAGTAATTGTAATAGTAATTGAATAAGTAACACTTTGTAATATACGAATCTTATAAAAAATATCTATATTACATTATCTTCAGAAACTGTTGAGTGTCATTTTTAATATGAGTAGTAGATAAAAGCCGATTCTAGAACCTCCTCTCAGAACCTCAGGTCAAGGCCAAGGCCAAGGTCACGTTGAGTGACCATGACCTTGACCTTGCCCTGAGGTTCTGGGAGGAGGTTCCAGAATCGGCTATTGCAAAGGGGGTCGTTGACCAGTAACCTTGACCTAAACAATGACCTTTACTTTGAGCTCACCTCAGGTCAAGATCACGTTTAGTGACCATGACCTTGATCAGTAACCTTGACCTGAACAATGACCTTTACTTTGACCTCAACGGAGACCTTGAAGTCAACCTTAATTGTGACCATGACATTGACCTTGTACGTGACCTGAAATGAAGGTTACACGACGTGAGTTCATTGAAAACCCCACTTCGGAGGAGGTATGCTTTAAATAGCAGATAGAAAATCGTGTTCAACAGTATTGAAGTAAGAGTGTTGTGAACATGTTGACCTGCGACGTGTGTTACAAAGAGTTTACTAGACCAGATAATCTTGTGAGACATCAACGCACAGCATGTATTGGGAAACGTCGAAAGGTGGAAGAGGATCAACAAGGAGATGTTATAGTGTGTGAAATATGTGATGAACACGTAACCAGACAATGTTATTCCTCACATCTGCGCAGCAACAAACATAAACAGAAAGCCTTCGTAATAATAGATGATGGTGTAGAAAAAATAGATTCGATATTTGGAGATAAAATATGTAGTTTTAGAGTGAGCGATCATGAACGGAAGTACGTAGACATGAAGGAATTCAGTAACCGAATTAGAGAAAAAGTTATCAGTTTGATACAGTCCGTGAGGAATGTAAATGGTAGTTTAAAAGTGAATACGGAAATTTTTGGATTGTATTTCATAAATACGAAGGAAGAAGTGGAAATCAAATCATTCAACACAAAAAATAAAATTATAACAGTAGCCGTAGACTTGTACCAAACATACGAGGACTTTATGGACGAGATTATGGTGAAAATGTCGGAATTCCAAGAACGGGACTCAGGTAAGAGTATAAGAATAGAAAAGTAGTAAAATGCGAAACTAAAGGCGTTAATACTGCAGGTTGGACCTTGTTGGAAATATTATATCTTGAAGTGAACTGTAACAAGTTTAATCCTACAAGAGCATCGAGCTACATCGACTTACCGACATCCATAAAAGGGAAGAGAGCGGTAATAAACGTGCAAAATAANTCTGATGGGTACTGGGAATGTTACGCAGTCAAACTTTAATTCTGTTTCCCTATAATCTGGGTATGATGATATTCTTTGCGGTAAACCTGTGGGTTGGTACAGCGCGGACATCAGTGCCCAAGCAAAGCACTTATTATCGTTATTTTGCACGTTTATTACCGCTCTCTTCCCTTTTATGGATGTCGGTAAGTCGATGTAGCTCGATGCTCTTGTAGGATTAAACTTGTTACAGTTCACTTCAAGATATAATATTTCCAACAAGGTCCAACCTGCAGTATTAACGCCTTTAGTTTCGCATTTTACTACTTTTCTATTCTTATACTCTTACCTGAGTCCCGTTCTTGGAATTCCGACATTTTCACCATAATCTCGTCCATAAAGTCCTCGTATGTTTGGTACAAGTCTACGGCTACTGTTATAATTTTATTTTTTGTGTTGAATGATTTGATTTCCACTTCTTCCTTCGTATTTATGAAATACAATCCAAAAATTTCCGTATTCACTTTTAAACTACCATTTACATTCCTCACGGACTGTATCAAACTGATAACTTTTTCTCTAATTCGGTTACTGAATTCCTTCATGTCTACGTACTTCCGTTCATGATCGCTCACTCTAAAACTACATATTTTATCTCCAAATATCGAATCTATTTTTTCTACACCATCATCTATTATTACGAAGGCTTTCTGTTTATGTTTGTTGCTGCGCAGATGTGAGGAATAACATTGTCTGGTTACGTGTTCATCACATATTTCACACACTATAACATCTCCTTGTTGATCCTCTTCCACCTTTCGACGTTTCCCAATACATGCTGTGCGTTGATGTCTCACAAGATTATCTGGTCTAGTAAACTCTTTGTAACACACGTCGCAGGTCAACATGTTCACAACACTCTTACTTCAATACTGTTGAACACGATTTTCTATCTGCTATTTAAAGCATACCTCCTCCGAAGTGGGGTTTTCAATGAACTCACGTCGTGTAACCTTCATTTCAGGTCACGTACAAGGTCAATGTCATGGTCACAATTAAGGTTGACTTCAAGGTCTCCGTTGAGGTCAAAGTAAAGGTCATTGTTCAGGTCAAGGTTACTGATCAAGGTCATGGTCACTAAACGTGATCTTGACCTGAGGTGAGCTCAAAGTAAAGGTCATTGTTTAGGTCTAGGTTACTGGTCAACGACCCCCTTTGCAATAGCCGATTCTGGAACCTCCTCCCAGAACCTCAGGGCAAGGTCAAGGTCATGGTCACTCAACGTGACCTTGGCCTTGACCTTGACCTGAGGTTCTGAGAGGAGGTTCTAGAATCGGCTTTTATCTACTACTAATATGATAAAGTCGCTAATAAACTGCAGTTAACAATCATTTACATAAACCAATTGCATAAGAATAACAAATGGGAAGACAGAAAGATTAAACTTTACAATTAACATGGATTTGATACAACACGGTACATTATTGCCCTGATTTATATTATGTACATACATAATTAATTTAAGAAATAAATAAAATAATAATATTTCTTTGTATATTCTTTTTTTAAAGGAGGCTTTTATTTTATATAATTTTTTAATTGTTAATATTATACTCATATTTAAAATTCTAGTTTTTAACATATCTGTGAAACTTATTTTTTTCTTATGTGATTGCTCCATTTTAACCTGTAGTGTCGTTCAATGTCGTCCACTTTACATCTTTAATTTCCGTTGTTTTAGTTTTCAAATCATTTTATACTGTGACTTTTATTATTTATTTAACCATAAGTTTATTTATTTATTTTATTTAATTCTATATACTTTTAATTATAATTTAGCTTGTAGATTTAGCTGATGATGATAAGTAATTATCGAAACCAGTACTAAGTATATTTATTAAAAAACTGAAAAAGAGCTCTTTTAATTTTTACCGTATTTTAAATCATACACCTCATTGATTATGGATTTATTAGAAAATGTTTAATGACTTATTGACAAACGTCAAAGTTTGATTTACGTTGTTTGATGTTTGTGAGTCTAAAACCAGTTAAAAGGGATATTAATAACGTTATTGTTTATACAAATGAAGAAATCCTTAATTTCTTTTAATAATAAATTTCTTAATATTTTAATTTGAAAATATTTTAGTCGACGAGAACACAATTGATTGTACTTAAATCTGAATTTTCAAATTTTTATTTCGGCCAGAATCTCAGAAACGTCTAATGAACGGTCTCGCTGAGACACCTGTATATCATCAAATGATATACAGGTGATCAACAAATGGCTTAGTTAAACTCTTAATTTTTGCGACCAATGGCAGCGCTGAAATGACTACAAGTACGACCCAATGTCCGCATTTGCTTCTTATATTTGCTGCTTATATGCCATTTATTTTATGTTTCTAATATATTTAGTAAAATTGTTGATTTGTTATTGCATTGATAGGTATGAATAAAGTCACTATTATTATTATATATTTATTTACTCAGTAGTTAAAAAAGAAATTGGTCATGAACAAATCTTATTATCAACTAAAGATTATTGATCAATTTATAATACGTTTTATAACATTTTATTGGCAATTAATTATTTTTTATATTTATTTTTAAATTTTTAATAGGTACCTAAAGCCATCTACAAGGTAATTGTTGAATATGTAGATCCATTCTTTAGTAGAATTACAAGGTAATTGCCAGAGGTTTACTTTAAAGTGTTTTGTTGATTTTAGGCAACCCATTTTATACCTTTTCGTAATGACTAAAAATTGTGACATCACAATTGTCACAATAGCTCTGTTTAATCTTATAAACAATTTCAGTAAACTTGACTTTACCCTTGAAAAAGAAATTAACAATAGTATCAATTTTCTTGACTTAACAATCACCAAAAACACATCTAATTCTTCTCTCACCTTTAATATTTTCCGGAAACCCACCACTACTGACACAATAATCCCCAAAAATTCTTTCATTCCTTTCAAATATAAAGAAGCAGCGTTCAGATTCTTCTTCCATAGAGGCACACCCCTTAACACACCCCTTAACACTGATAATGTTAACTCAGAAATCTTTAATATTATAAAAATAGGTCTGAATAACGGCTATAATATTAAAGATTTACAAACCATATTCTACAAAGTACATAATAATAAAATCCTTTCATTCATTTATCCTCACTTTAATCCCCCACCTAAATATATTTCTATTTCAAATTACGAACCTGTGATCAATCAACTACATTCCTTAACCAAGAAACACAACATACACATAGCTACCAAAAACACGACCAAAATTTCCAATTTACTTACCAATAATAAACACAAATTTCATTTTCATTTACTGAATGAGGTTTACAAAATAACTTGTAATGACTGCAATAAAATTTACATTGGTCAAACAGGTAGAAATCTATTAACACGCTTTAAAGAACACAATAAAGACAAAAACTCTGCCATTTTCAAACATATTTCGGAAACCGGTCATAAAATAAACCTCAATAATATGGAAGTGATGCATCATCAACCAAAATCATTAAAGCTAGACTTGCTGGAAGAATATAAAATTTCCAAACAATCAAAAACAACGCCGATGAGTTACTAAACGAGATTTTAGATAACAAATATATGCGTCTATACCACAAATTTAAATAATTTTTTAGATTTTGTTTTGCGTGTTTCGGATTCGGTATGCGCACCACTCATATAATGTTTTTGCGAACACACCCTTGCCCACTGTTGCCAACACTACAGTTTTCACCGTAGATTTACAGTTTTTTTGAAATCTTCCTAGTTTTTAGTTTAGACCTACAAATCTACTGTTTTTTAGTTAATATTGTAATGCCATATATTTCACGTATTACATATCGCCCGTACACTAATTCTGCTTCAGATAAACTTGCCATCTAGAATCTAGGAGACCAAACTATGTAACTGTTAATCGATTTAATAGATGGCGTTAGTCGATAGAAAATAGAGACAAAACAGAGTTCCTGTTTTCTATTGTTTGTGACGCAGAAATCCCCTGTCTTGCCAGAGCTGTCATTTGTTTAGATTTTTTAGCGACCGATTGTTGTTTTGAGTGTTTTTATAATAAGTGCTTTGAAAACAATCAAAAAGTTATGACTATGGTTAGTAGCAGTGATAGTGAGTCAGATTTTGATAAATCACCACCTAAAAAGAAGAAAGTAGTCAGATATGAGCAAAAATTTATTGATTCTTGGTTCAAAGATGAAAAATTTAGTGGATGGCTTGCAAAAAGTAAAAATGGTAATACGTATTTTTATTGTTCTGCATGCGACTGTGATAGGAAATGCGGCATTCAAGAACTGATGCGGCATAGAAATTTGTCTAAGCATGAAGGGAATTGTAAGAAATTACAAAAGCAACCTAAACTTACATCTTTGTTTTCTTTGCATATTTTTTATTGCAGAACATAACCTCGCATTTAATGTTGGCTCACATCTCACTAATTTAGTAAAATCTGTATGTCCAGACTCAAAAATTGCTGAAAAATTGTCTATGAGCAGAACAAAAGCTCGCGCTATTGTAGTAAATATAACAGGAAAAACAGCTGAAGAAAACTTGATAGAAAATTTAAGACAAAACCATTTTTCATTGTTGGTAGATGAGAGCACTGATAAGTCGACAATCAAGCATTTAGCTTTGATCGCAAGGTTAGTCAACCCAAATTATGAAGTAGAAGATAAATTTCTAACGTTTAATACCAGTTACCGATGGTTCAGCTAATTGTTTATACAATAAAACTGTCGAATATTTTATTGAGAAACAAATCCCGTGCAAGAAAAATATGATAGGGTTTGCGTCTGATGGCGCCAATGTAATGTTTGGAGGCAATAACTCGATGGTTACTCATTTAAAGAACGATATACCCAATCTTTTCACTATTAAATGTATATGTCATTCATTTGCGCTTTGCGCGTCCAATGCATGTGAAAAATTACAGAGGGGCCTTGAGGACTTTTGTCGCGAAGTTTTTAATCACATCCAAAACTCACCTAAACGCATTGGTGATTTCAAAACATTTCAGGAGTTTGCAAATATAAAACCACATAAAATATTACACCCTGCACAAACCAGATGGCTGTCGTTGAACGATGTTGTAAATAGATTGCTAGAACAGCTCCCGGCTTTTAAACTATATTTTCAATAGGCAGTTTTTACAGATCGTCTTCTTTCTGCGCAAGGTATTTTAACGAAAGCCCTGGAACCGACAACTGAATTATACTTGGAGTTTTTATGATTTGCGTTACCTATATTCACTGATTTAAATAAAGAAATGCAAGCAGAGAAACCGAAGTTGTACTTACTATATGATCAAATTTACACTGTGTATGTAACTATTTTAGAATGTTTTATACAACCAATTTATTTAGAATTAACAGAAGAAGAGAAAAACAATGCCAAAGATATTTCAACTGCCAAAGAACAGAAAGTATTAAGTGTTGATGTAAACGACGTTAGGACCCATTTACCGTTATTTGAAACATATGTAGGCGGAATGATACCAAATTTGATTCGGTTAAAAAAGGACACTAAAGAGTTGGATGACGATAAACTAACAAATTTTTATAGAAAATGTACAGAGTTTTACATTGAGGCAGCAACCCAAATCAGACGCAGTTTTCCTTTCGATGACAAAGACTACGTTCTTTAAAGTGTTTAAAGATGTTGAACCCACAAGCGATTTTAGACCATAGTTTGAACAAAAAGCAAATAACTTCAATTGCTGAACTATTATATTATTTCCCAAGTATTTGCCCGGAAAATATAACGGAATTGGATAGGGAATGGCGAACTCTTCGCAACACCAATTTGAATTTTGACGAAGCTGACACGCTTAATGTGGAAAAATTTTGGGGACACGTTTCCAGATTACAAAA